CAGCCTCCTGAGTAGTTGGGATTACAGGCACCTGCCACCATGCCCAGCTAATCAAAACCATTTTTTTTTTTTTTTTTACATATGAAAAAACCAAAATACTGGGACAAATGTTAGACATACGGGAGAAAAAATGGACCTTAGCTAAATTAAAGTTATATGCGAAAGATGTGATATTCTTAACAGAATTTAAACAGGAAGTTTTTCTATATACCTAAAACTGATTAATGTTACGGACCTATTGAATGTTTCTGCCTGCATGTTTTCTTTTTTCTGTGTTTATGAAAATCTGTACATCATAGTTCCTCTGTTCGCAGGGATGTTGTCATGCTTGGCGTTGCCTTGTTCGTGTAGTCTGTCTGCACCCCTCAGCTCATTGGTTAGTGGTGATTGTGGGAGCTGCCTCAGTATCTCAGACGATTCTGATGATACGGGAAAGAGAACTATCTGCTTAGGATAGATTTTAGGATTAGGATTTTCTGTGTTTATGGAAAGTGTTTTTATTTGTTGAGGTATAACTAAAATCATCTAAGGCTAAATGTAATGAAACAGCTCATAACAGATGAACTGTACATGAATAGATTATCCTACAGGGGGAGCAAGAGGCAGACGTGTTAAAAGTCTGTTGGGCTTCTCCCCCAGAACAGAACAGTAGTCTTTTTGCCTGTCACTCGTGCAGAATGAATCATAAGTATTTTCAGGAAATAAGTGTGGATAATATCATTCATTTGTTGTCATTATGGTTGCCACCAAGAACAGGGAGCTATTTAATAAATTAATAAAAATTAAATAAACCTTAAAATTTAGCTCCTCAATATCATTAGTACATTCTGAGTGTCCAATCGCCCCACGTGTGTAGTGGTTATCATATTAGCAGTATAGATACAGAGAATTTCTATCATCACAGACGTCTATGAAACAGTACTGGTTTCTTAGAAACCTTTGTGTCTTAATGTTTGTTTATTGATTTATTTAAACAGTGGTAATATGTAGAGTTTAACAAGGGGAGTTATCAGTTAAGTTCTCTTTCATACGCAAAGAAGGAATCAAGTAGTGGTGTGATGTCAGCTTGTAAAGAAATCATGGATCTGCACATTAGTAAGTCACATGTACTCAGGGACCCCTGGGAGTACCTGTTTTGTCAGAGTTGCCTGGCAGTAAGGGCACCAAAATAGCTATGGGAAGGAGGCAGTTTTACTACTTCTGTAGATCAGGAAATGGTCTTAGTGATACTTGGACTTGTGCACAGATACTTCTGTTGGTAGAATCCAAGACTCCTGAATATTTTAGTATAAGCCTTTTTTCTTCCTCAGTCTGTGTGAGCCCCATGCAGGACTAGGGAAAGTTGTAAGGAGTACCTCAGTCTCTCTGTATGTTTCAGAAGTCTCTTGGCTGATTAATCATGTTGTTTGTTATTCATTTGGAGTGATACTGAGCCCTTGAAGACTTTAGGGTGGTATACCTGGCATTGTCCTTGATTATAAAATATCTTGGAATCTTTTATAAGAAGATGGGGATCATTAGTGAAAGTACTCATTGATGGTCAAACTACATTAAAGAGTTGGAAAAGGAAACTATGAGGTGTGATCTGTCTCTGAATTTTTCCCCTGCTTGTTTGGATGAATAAATAGAAGGCATATTTATAAAGTTTGCAGAAGACAACTAAAACAGTTTAGAGGGCTATGTTGATACTGACTGTGCTTCTCTTGCTTTTTTATTTACTGTTTTTCAGTAAAATATGAAAGAATCAAATTTCTGGTGATTGCTTTGAAGAGTTCTGTGGAAGTCTATGCGTGGGCACCAAAGCCATATCACAAATTTATGGCCTTTAAGGTAACAACATCAAGTGAATTTAAAAATAGTATTGGCCATGCAAGCTGCAACCAAGAGTCAGGGAATACGTTTAAAAAGTCTGCACTGTTAAAATTGCTAATATAAAAGCTATGCGCTAATATAGCATATAACTTTATCATAAGAAACCATTTCTAATGTAATGTAATAAGCTTAGTTAATCTGCTTTCTAAGCCCACAGAGTGAGAAGGAGAGCGAGATAAATGTTGGGTAGACACTATAATTGATGTGGCAGTGCGGTAACAGAGGAAAAGAGAACAGCACTTCCACCCTCCGGTTAAAAAGGTGATCTTCACCTGAGTCATGGATGTGTATAAAGATTTAGATGTGTTTTTGATAACAAAACTCTGTCTGACGGGCAGTTTTAAGGTATATCTGTTCATAAAATACTAATTAAAAATTAAATTACAGAAATTCTAATGACAAGGAACATTTATTATATAGCAAGTGAAAAACGTTAAAATATTTCATATGATTCCATTTTTGTTTAAATAAAAAACTCAGGTATAACATCTGAACTAATGTATACATTAAGATGTTTTTGCCATTTTGCACGTATACAGTTTTAGGAAAGTAAATGATTGAGTACTTAGTGTTAAAATTAGGACTGTTTTCATTTGTGAGTTCACAAAAATACTCATGGAATTTACACATATACCTCACATTGCCTGGTGATTGGCTTTTTAGAATAGTTTTTTTATTTTATTTTATTGAAGGGGTAAGTTTCATTTATTTGGAAAATTTATATTTTTGGTTTGCTTAGTGCTTGATTTCCCGGTGAAGCAGGATAAATGAAGTTACAATATTTGCTTAAAAAATAAATCCAAGTGTTACTGAATAAAGATAATTGGTTATACAGTTATATTATCTTCTGAGATCTGACCTTGATGTTCTTTATATACCAGGTACCGTACTAGTTGGTTTTATACATATTACCTGATTTAAAGCTGCTGTTTCATTATCCTAGTCTCGTGAACTGTGGGTAGTGATGTCAATGAAAAACGGAGACCACCAGCACAATCCAAGCTGTTGTAGCACATACAGCCTTTTCACCATTTTAGTCTAGTCAGAAAATTAGAGATCTTTATAGTTCACAGAGAGGTTAGTATGGTAACAGTGATACAGTTTTCAGTGTGTGACTCCTACAACTCCTGTCGCTCTCCTGCGCATTTGAATAGTTGAGTAGTATGCTTAGGAAAGTCCTCGCTCTTTTACTGTGCATGCTTTTCTGATCAAGGCAGCCAACAGCACAGTAAGTGACAGAGCAGAAATCTTGGTCTGGATAGGGAGATTTGGAACATAACTTTTGGAAGAAGTGTCTTCCAGATGCTAAATAACAGGCAAAAACTTAATAAAGACTAATTTTGTAGAGTATTGTTGCCTTACGGTTGTTGCCAGTGTGGCTCAGTAATGGAATAACTGAGTATGTTGGGTCTTCTCTAGTTTGATCTGTTAGAAGTAAGTTCTCTTTCATCTTCTCACTTCTCTCTTATGGCTTCTTTGCAGTCATTTGGAGAATTGGTACATAAGCCATTACTGGTGGATCTCACTGTTGAGGAAGGCCAGAGGTTGAAAGTGATCTATGGATCCTGTGCTGGATTCCATGCTGTTGATGTGGATTCCGGATCAGTCTATGACATTTATCTACCAACACACGTAAGAAAGAACCCACACTCTATGGTTGGTTGACTGGCTTCATTTTGTTTTGACTTTTTTCTTTACTCTGCTTAGTGAACTAACACAAGCAGGGATTCTTCATTTCCCCTCGGTGTGGGGGTGAGTATTTAAATGATAAGCAATTTTCAGTAGCTCCATGCTCCTAGATAAGTGGAAATCCACCTTCCTGGCTCTGTGGAGCCCTTGTGAAAACCTCTTAGCCCTTGCTTTGACTAACATGGGATGGATTTGGGGCAGTTGCTGGCAGGCCAGAACATCCCTGGGTTGGGAGTGGTTCTCAGTTGGAGCCCAGCATCCAAATATGTTTCATGGGCCTCAGGAGATGTGAGTCAGTAGAGTATATTACTGGGAAAGAGCAGACTTGGGGATATATTTTGCATGAGTATTCTCAAATGTTATCTAATTGCTGTATTTATCACCAGGGATATGGTACCAGTGCATTCACCAAGAGTCTTACTGAGCACTTTCACAGGGCTGGAAATAACCACAGACATTCTTCCCTGTACTTTGTTCCTGTTCTCTAGATCCAGTGTAGCATCAAACCCCATGCAATCATCATCCTCCCCAATACAGATGGAATGGAGCTTTTGGTGTGCTATGAAGATGAGGGGGTTTATGTAAACACATATGGAAGGATCACCAAGGATGTAGTTCTACAGTGGGGAGAGATGCCTACGTCAGTAGGTATGGAGAACTTGGGAAAGGCAGCATTTGTGAACGTGGAGCCGTGTCTGAGACTGCATGTATTTATCATGCTGACTTTATATGTCCTTCAGACCTTTTGGCTACCATTGAACAGAGTGGTTGGCAGTAGATGGTAGAAAGTTAGATTGTAGTCCGTGGAAATAGTCATAGGTCTATTTTACAACAAAATCCAAGAAATTATTTTATACTTTAAAAATCCTGTTATCATAATCTCTCATTTAATCCTTAAAACATCCAGAGGAAAATCGGACATGTTTTTGTTGACCATTTTGTAAAGGGAGACAGAGAATTGGTAACGAATTGGTAAAGGGAGACGGAGAGAAAGGGAAATTATTTGCACTTGAGAATGGTAGAGCCGTAACTACAAACAGCCTTGTGCATCGTTTCCTAGTTTGCGTTCAGTAATAAAGACTGATATTTGACATTTTCATGGGTTTCTATTCCAAAACTATTTTAGTTTTATTGTAGTTAAGTCACTGTCTCTGAGCACTCATCATTTCTCTTCCCTGCCTTCTCTCGTGATTGGATTGATAAAAATCTGTGCACTAAACTCTAAACTCAGTGGCTCATTTTTCTAGATAGGCATGAAAGGCCTAAGGAGAATGAAATAGATCAACCACTGATGCAAGTCACTCCTTCACAGAATGGACAAGGTGGTTACAAAGGCAGAGTTCCTTGAAAACAAATATTTAAATGCTAGGCATTTAAATTTTAAATTTTAAAAAGATTTAAAAGTATAAAAATATTTGTTTATCACATAAGCAACATCTTTTCAGGGCTGTTTCCTTATCTTTAATGGTTTGTAATTTTTCCCTCCCCAAAAGCGTATATTCGATCCAATCAGACAATGGGCTGGGGAGAGAAGGCCATAGAGATCCGATCTGTGGAAACTGGTCACTTGGATGGTGTGTTCATGCACAAAAGGGCTCAAAGACTAAAATTCTTGTGTGAACGCAATGACAAGGTAATGGTTTTCTTATGGATTCTTTTTAGTTACTCTGTCTTTTAGTAATGGCTTGTTTTGCATGGAGTTTGATTATTAATTTCCTTGGAGTTTTGATAAAAATAATCAAGGAACTTTTTAAACGTTGCTTTTTAGTCATGTTTGTGAGGATTGGGGTATGTTTTGCTTTTTGCTATGAGGGGACAGAGATATTTTTCCGCTGTAGAAATTAACATATTTGGGTTTTGCTTTGTATATATATTTTTAACTCTATTAAATGACCTGTCTAGGCTATAACAATTAGTTTAGAGATAGGGAAGATAAAAGCTGCCAGTTGAGTTGACTGAAATTCTTTTGTGAGTGGAAGGAACCACCGTGCGATTTTCCTACATCGAAAGGTTCCTCTCGCCTGATGTGTGTCAAGAGGATGCCCCTCGTTAGTCTGTGAGTGGTGAAATTGCTTCCTAGGTTTGCATGTCAGAAATGTTTCACAGTAAAAATCATCTTATGCAGACATAACATAACCTCCTGCACCTGAGACGCCACGGCATCACACCCCCTTTGCTTTTCAGAACTGGCCATATCACTCCAGGGACGATTCCTGTGGCAACTTCCTCCCAGGAAGTCCCTTTCAAACTGGCTTTGGAGGGGAGCAGGTAGATGGCCAGGGGCGTTGACCCATCCCTGTTTGCCAAGGGAGAAGGCATCGAGGGTGGAACTGATTTTTACTAAGCCTACCCTTTCTTTCTTCTGTCCAGTCAGACCTTTGAAACTTGGCTCTGAAGAACGTTTCTGCCTTTTGCCTCACATTGACAGACTAGCAGTCAGCCCAGTTCTCAGATTTAAACATTTAATCATTTAATGTGAGAAAGAAGAAACTACACATCTGTCCTTGGCAGCTGGTCCTGCTTGCCCAATACATCCCAAACACAAAGTCGCTTCACCCCCACCCACTGTCTTCTGCAGCCCTACAACTCAGTTTCAAGTGAAGTTTTGCCTACAGATGATCTCCCAAATCTGTGACCTTGAAAATCTCTGTAGCTCACACCTAATCCAGGATTTTGTCAGCTTGTTGGCTTATACCTTCCTAAGTATGTTTACCGTGGCTGCAACTATAACATTCTTTGAATTTCAGGCACTTAAATATTTTTATCATGCATGTCATGTCCTTTAAGATATATTAATAAAAGGCACAAAAATTCTATTACTTTATGGATTATATGAAGAATTAATACATTTTTTGTTGATTTTTAAAAAGAAATTAGTTGTTAAGGAGTCTTCCCTGTTGCTCATTGTGTGTTTTTTTCTTTTTGTTTTTGTTTTTGCTCATTGTGTTTTTTAAAGACATTTATTTATTAGAAGGTATTAACAGTAGAAGCAGAAAGAAATAACTCTTCAGAAACATCCATTTTTTTCTTTATGTTCTCACAATATGCCAGTGTATAAGGAGTTAGTAGTAACAAGCCTGAGTTGTAATAAAAATTGGCTGCAGATGGTCACTCCTTACAAAGTATAAATTGATAATTGCCCCAGAGGTTTTTGTGGGTTGTTAGTTTGTTTGTTTTGATGATGCAGTCTCGCTCTGTTGCCTGGGCTGGAGTGCAGTGGCGTGATCTCAGCTCAATGCAGCCTCTGCCTCCTGGGTTCAAGCAATTCTCTGCCTCAGCCTCCTGAGTGGCTGGGATTACAGGCGCCCACCACCATGCCCAGCTAATTTTTTGTATTTTTAGTAGAGATGGGGTTTTACCATCTTGGCCAGGCTGGTCTTGAACTCCTGACTTCATGATGATCCACCTGTCTCGGCCTCCCAGAGTGCTGGGATTACAGGCATGAGCCACCGTGCCCGGCCTTTTTTTTTTTTGAGATAGAGTTTCCCTCTGTTGCCCAGGCTGGAGTGCAGTGGTGTGATCTTGGCTCACTGCAGCCTCCATCTCCTGGGTTCAAGTGATTGATTCTCATGCCTCAGCCTCCCGAGTAGCTGAGATTACAGGTGTGTGCCACCACATGGTGTTTTTAGTAGAGACGGGTTTCGTCATGTTGGCCAGGCCGGTCTGGAACTCCTGGCCTCTCAAAGTGCTGGGATTACAGATGTGAGTCACTGCGCCCGGCCTCAGTTTCTTTTGAAAAGGCTCTTTGGGGGTGTGAGCTTCTCGTACAGTGTTGAGGATGATGGTGGCTTAGATTCCCTGGCTGGAAGTGCTGCATGACCATGGTAACCATGCCCTCTCTTTTCTGGGTTTTGCAGGTGTTCTTTGCCTCTGTTCGGTCTGGTGGCAGCAGTCAGGTTTATTTCATGACCTTAGGCAGGACTTCTCTTCTGAGCTGGTAGAAGCAGTGTGATCCAGGGGTTACTGGCCTCCAGAGTCTTCAAGATCCTGAGAACTTGGAATTCCTTGTAACTGGAGCTCGGAGCTGCACCGAGGGCAACCAGGACAGCTGTGTGTGCAGACCTCACGTGTTGGGTTCTCTCCCCTCCTTCCTGTTCCTGTTTTACCAATTTATCCCCATTCTTTTTTTTTTTTTTTTCTTACTCCAAAATAAATCAAGGCTGCAATGCAGCTGGTGCTGTTCAGATTCTACCATCAGGTGCTATCAGTGTTTGGGATTGAGCATCATACTGGAAAGCAAACACCTTTCCTCCAGCTCCAGAATTCCTTGTCTCTGAATGACTCTGTCTTGTGGGTGTCTGACAGTGGCGACCATGAACACGCCGTTGGTTTTATTGGCAGTGGGCACAAGGAGGTGAGAAGTGGTGGTAAAAGGAGCAGAGTGCTGAAGCAGAGAGCAGATTTAATATAGTAACATTAACAGTGTATTTAATTGACATTTCTTTTTTGTAATGTGACAATATGTGGACAAAGAAGAAGATGCAGGTTTAAGAAGTTAATATTTATAAAATGTGAAAGACACAGTTACTAGGATAACTTTTTTGTGGGTGGGGCTTGGGAGATGGGGTGGGGTGGGTTAAGGGGTCCCATTTTGTTTCTTTGGATTTGGGGTGGGGGGTCCTGGCCAAGAACTCAGTCATTTTTCTGTGTACCAGGTTGCCTAAATCATGTGCAGATGGTTCTAAAAAACAAAAAAAAGTAAAAAAAAAAGAAAAAGAAAATGTGTGCATTTTGTATAATGGCCAGAACTTTGTTGTGTGACAGTATTAGCACTGCCTCAGTTAAAGGTTTAATTTTTGTTTAAACCTAGAAGTGCAACAACAGTTTTACCACAGTCTGCACTTGCAGAAGAAAGAAAAAAGTTCAAACCACATGTTTATTTTTTTTGCCTACCTCATTGTTCTTAATGCATTGAGAGGTGATTTTAGTTTATATGTTTTTGGAAGAAACCATTAATGTTTAATTTAATCTTAATACCAAAACGACCAGATTGAAGTTTGACTTTTATTGTCACAAGTCAGCAGGCACAAGAACTGTCCATGAAGATGGGAAATAGCCTTAAGGCTGATGCAATTTACTTCCAAGTTTAGAAAGCAGAATGCTTTGTTTTCACCAGATTCAGCATTAAAGGTTGATGGGGCAACTGCAGCCCGTGACACAAGAGATCTCAGTGTTCTCGACGTGGGGGGTGGGTGGTAGCAGACAGGTGGTCACATTAGAATAGTCACACAAACTGTTCAGTGTTGCAGGAACCTTTTCTCGTGGGTGGGGGAGTTTCCCTTTTCTAAAAATGCAATGCACTAAAACTATTTTAAGAATGTAGTGAATTCTGCTTATTCATGAAGTCGGCATCTTCTGTGTTTTAGGTGTAATACCGAAGTCCTGGCTTTTCTCGTTTCCTCACTTGCTCTCTTGTTCTCTGTTTTTTAAACCGATTTTCCTTTATGAATATATTCATGACATTTGTAATAAATGTCTTGAGAAAGAATCTGTTTCATGGCTTCATGGTCATCACTCAGCTCCCCTAAGGATGTTACCGTCTCAGAAAAGGATCAGGGGCTCCGTGTCCCAGTCCTGCCATCTGACTTTCCTCTTGTCGAGTTCCGAGTGGAAATACTGCATTATGGCCGCTTTAACCTCAGTCATCAAAAGAAACTTGCTGTTTTTTAGGCTTAATCTTCTTCCTTTGTGGTTACTTTTCCTGTATATTGTGAAAATGGGGGATTTTCCCTCTGCCCCCACCCACCTAAACACAACAGCCATTTGTACCTGTCTGCTTCCCATCCCACTTGGCACCCACTCTGGCCCCTGTCATTTTCCTCTTCCTGGTTCAGTATTTTTGAAAAAGGCCCTCCTTTCAGCTACAAACATCTGGTAAGTCAAGTACATCCATCCACCCATGAATGCAGACACAGCAGCTGGTGGTTTTGTGTATACCCATAAAGACAAGATAAGCTGAGAAGCCTTACTTTTTGGGGAGGGAAAAGAAGATGGAAATGGATGTTTCATTTGTACAAATTTGGAGCAGTGCTGAAGGCCAAAGCCACCTACTGGTTTGTAATTAACCTAGAGAAGGTTGAAAAGTTAATCTTACCTTTAAAGGGATTTGAGGTAGGCTGGATTCCATCACCACAGGACTTTAGTTAGAATTAAATTCCTGCTTGTGATTTATATCCACGCTTAGGCTTTTCATAAGATGAAACATGCCACAGTGAACACACTTGTGTACATATCAAGCGAAGAAGGAAAGGCACAGGTGACTGTGGCTCCTTCCCTGGCTTCAGAGAACAGTAAAAGGTGGGCAGATGTCTTTGAAGAAATGCTCAATGTCTGATGTTAAGTGGGAGAAGGCAGAGAACAAAGAATGTGGCATCGTGGTCTTGCATTATCCAAAGACTTGAAGCTCCACATCTGTAAGTCAAGGGTTACACAAAAAATGCAAATGGTGTTTCACTGGAATTACCAAGTGCTTAGAACTTGAGGAAAACTGGCTTTCCCATAGGTGGTGAAGGGGTCTGAGCTCACACCGAGTTGTGCTTGCTCTGCTTGTGTAGCTCCAGGCACCCCGTGGGCACTGTCTTGGTGTTTGTGGTGAACTGAATGGAATCCATTGTTGGACTTAAGTTACTGAAATTGGACCACCCTTTGTCCCTCTAGGCGGGGGCTTCCTGGTCTGTGCTTTACTTGCCTTTTTTCCTTCCCTTCTTAGCCTCACCCCCTTGTAAACCAGATTGAGTTGCTATAGCTTGATGCAGGTACCCAGTGAAGTTTCTCCATAAAAGATTAGGAGTCGTTGAAATGTTTAGATTCTTTTAGGAAAGGAGTTATTTTCCCCCCTTTTACAGGGTAGTGACTTCTTCACAGAAGTGCCAATATGGCAAAATTACACGAGAAAACAGTATTGTAATGATTCCATTACATACGGAACGTTGAACTGTTATAGGAGTGCTCTTCCAAACAAAACAAAAATATCTCTAGATTTAGTCAAAGCTTTCGTAAGTAATAACCTTTCTGTATTGAGATCAGAGTAACCCTTTCTGTATTGAGTGCAGTGTTTTTACTTTTTTCTCATGCACATGTTAATGTTGGAGAAAATGTTTACAAAAATGGTTTTGTTACACTAATGCGCACCACATATTTATGGTTTATTTTAAGTGATTTTTTAAATGGGTTATTTAGGTTTTCGTCTTAGTTGTAGCACACTTACCCTAATTTTGCCAATTATTAATTTGCTAAATAGTAATACAAATGACAAACTGCATTAAATTTACTAATTATAAAAGCTGCAAAGCAGACTGGTGGCAAGTACACAGCCCTTTTTTTTGCAGTGCTAACTTGTCTACTGTGTATTATGAAAATTACTGTTGTCCCCCCAACCTTTTTTCCTTAAATAAAGTAAAAATGACACCTATGTTACGTGACATGAGTTTGAAATATGTTCTGAGCCTTCAGAATGTTTCCTTCCTGTGAGGATCCATATTTGATGCACACACCTGCCTCCCCTGAGCTGCCCGCACCAGAGCAGGCTCCTGTATTCTGCTGTCTCAGACGACAGGGGCTTGCCCAAGGCCAGGCGTAGATTATGGAAGTAGCCAGTGTTTGTCTAAAGATCTCAGAGATGAAGTGGGAGATGAACCTCCATCACCATGTTCCTGAAGCCAACACAGAGTAAAGCTGGTCCTTATCTTTAAGAAAGAAATAATGTTGCATTTTTGCAGTTTTTGAATTTGGATCAAAAAGTAAAACAGCATGATGTCTGTAATAGGACAATTAAAGTAGCTCTTTCTCAGTTTGGCGCATAAGACTAACTTGGGTCTAATCATTGGAGCCCCTTCAATGTAAGGTCATTGTGTCTAAGCGCTGGGGTTCTCCATCAACCCCCCGTAGGCCTGGTAGGCGTGATCCCCATCAGGCAGATCTGGGGCCACGCTCTCAGTATGGGCACCTCGCCTTAGTCTCCGGGGCTGCCCGTGCTGCATTGTCATCAATTTAATAAACCACTTCGTGCTTCATCCTAGAAACATGTTATCTCTCTAATGTGAAAATAAAATTATAAGTACTTAGGCTGTCAGGTGAGTAAGATTTTTCTTTTCCTACTTGATGTGTTGCAGTTGGTGGATGATTAGCAGTAAAAATCTGGTGGAGTTTTCTTGGGACCATCATGCATTCCTCCTCTTCCAACTTTCTCCTCCATTGGTTGAGATTTCACTTAAAGGAAGCAACGGGGGATCCAATCAAGACCCTTCAGCCAACACCAGCTCTGTGTCTTGGCATCACATTAAAAAATACAGTAAAATTGGTGCATTCTCTGGCATCTACTTAAAAAAAAAATGCTTCATTAAGCAGAAGTAGCTAATGTATTCTGTAAAGTAAAATGGCTAAGGGATCAAAACTTGGGGAAAGTCGTTACTATATTTTCTTATGGGAGAAGATAGGCACTCAAATATTAGTTCCCATACCTGGTCTACCTCTCCCTTAGGTAAATCAGACTGTATCCATGTGTCACATTCTTCCTGAAACAGTCTCATCTTTGCCTCTGTCCTGCCCAGCTTCTTTGCTGTTACCTTGTTCACTATTTCCTAAAGGATACGTAGCCCGCATATTAGCCGAGATTGTTTCTCAAATTTAACCACTTATTAAATGCAAACTC